GTTTCAAGTCTTTCAAGTACATATTACTTTAACAAGAAAAATAAAGCCAATACTCGCTTCCTTTCTTGAGATGCAAATTGGGCTTCAATGCCCACTCAATGCCCATTCTCATCTACCATCTTGTCACTCTATGGAGGCACCCACAGACCTAACTGGCATGACTGGCATGTCAACTGCTAAACGCTCTCACTACATCATGAACTTCCTTTTTGAAAAACAGATATTACTCAAATTAATGTTTATAAATTAATTTTTTAAATTTATTTTTTTGAGACAGGGTCTCATTGTCACCCAGGCTGGAGTGCAGTGGTGTAATCTCCACTCACTGCAGCCTCTACCTCCCAGGCTCAGTCAACCCTCCTGCTGTGACTACAGGCATGTGCCACTATGCTCAACTAATTTTTTAAATTTTTTTGTAGAGATGGGGTTTACCCATCTTGCTCAAGCTGGTCTCAAACTCCTGGGGTCAAGGATTTTGCCCACCTAGGCCTCCCAAAGTCCTAGGATTACAGGCATGAGGTACCATGCTCAGCCAAAAGTTAATGTTTATAGGTGCCAAATATTTACAAAATCCGTAAGTGACTATAGTTGTTTTAAAATATGCAGATACTGTGCTTAATTGCTTAATCTTCAAAATTTATTATTATTATTAATCATACAGTGTTAAGCATGTGGTTCCAAGTATATAAAGTAACACCTTACTGGATTTATTTTTCTTTTTTTTTTTTTTTTTTTTTGAGACGGAGTTTCACTCTTGTTGCCCAGGCTGGAATGCAATGGTGCGATCTCGGCTCACCGTAACCTCCGCCTCCTGGGTTCAGGCAACTCTCCTGCCTCAGCCTCCTGAGTAGCTGGGATTACAGGCAGGCGCCACCATGCCCAGCTAATTTTTTGTATTTTTAGTAGAGATGGGGTTTCACCGTGTTGACCAGGATGGTCTCGATCTTCTGACCTCGTGATCCACCTGCCTCAGCCTCCCAAAGTGCTGGGATTACAGGCTTGAGCCACCGCGCCCGGCTGGATTTATTTTTCATTCCATTTTTTCAAGTTGTTTGAACGTTCCGTTGTAGGGTTTTTTTAAACCCTAGATTTGGGCCAGTTCTGTGGCTCACGCCTGTAATCACAGCATTTTGGAAGGCTGAAGTAAGTAGATCACTTGTGGCCAAGAATTTGAGATCAGCCTGGCCAACATGGTGAAACCCCATCGTTACTAAAAATATAAAAATTAGCCAGACGTGGTGGCACATGCCTGTGATTCCCAGCTACTCGGGAGACTGAGGCACAAGAATTGCTTGAACCCAGGAGGCAGAGGTTGCAGTGATTGCACCACTGCATTCTAGCCTGGGCAACAGAGCAAGACCCTGCATCAAAATACTGCCCAGATTTGATCATTACACAATGTACACATTTCTATCAATATATCACAGGTACCCCATAAATATACATAACAATTATACATCCATAAAAATTAAAAATACATTTTTAAAAAATGAACTCCTTTCAGTCAGGAATCATATCTTATTCCTGTCATGAGTTCGCAGGGTCTGATATGTTGTAGTGGCCACTAAATGTTGTTTACATGAAACCCAGAAACAAGGTTATTAAATGTATAGAATATGGTATGTAATCTATTTCATGGTATCCTGTAAAATATGAAAACCAGGTGCGGTGGCTCACGCCTGTAATCCCAGCACTTTGGGAGGCTGAGGCAGGTGGATGACTTGAGATCAAGAGTTCGAGACCAGCCTGGCTAACATAGTGAAACCCTGTCTCTACTATAAATACAAAATTAGCTGGGTGTGGTGTTGGACGCCTGTAATTCCAACTACTCAGGAGGCTGAGGCGAGAGAATCGCATGAACCTAGGAGGCGGAGATTGCATTGAGCTGAGATCAGCCCACTGCACTCCAGCCTGGGCGAGGCTCCATCTCATAAAACAAAACAAAACAAAAAATGAAAAGAAGAGTTACTAATACTCGGTTTTGAACTGTTTAAGATTCACAAAAATTGAACCCCATCCATCGTGGAAACTGTGCAGTGTAACTGATAGAAGTTTGCAGAGGAACTGGCTTTGCTATTGTTCAGCTAGCTACATCTTATTGAGTAGCTTAAGACAGCAAAGCAGCACAAGCTCCAGAGTTAGAAAGCCCTGGACTTATGTAGAGTCTCAGTCTCAGCTTCCTAATATGTAAAAGACATTAGGTTGAACCATAAAAAAGAGACACTCTTTTTTGGGGTGGGGGGTGGGGTGGGAAGTGCAGAACTATGATAAAACCTAGCGATGCCCGCCCCAGAGCTGGTCTACATAGCATCTCAAACTCTCTTTAATCACAGCTCTCAGTGTGTGTATCCTGGGAAGACAGGATGCAATCTGGAGCACTGTCACACAACACATGCCCTCTTCAATCCGATTAGCAGCTGTGGGTAAGAACTAGCCTCCAACTAACTGGAGTAAGGAGACAGCTAAGACAAATTCAACTCACCTCTCTTCAGGCATTTCCAAAGCTTTTGGGGAAGAAAAAAAATAAACCACAGAGAAAATAAGGGAAAATAGAAAATTCCAGGACTTCCTGGAACAAAGGAGAGAATCTCAGTGTCTTTTTACCTCAAGGCTCATGTAGAAACTTGACGGCCATATGGCTTCTGGAATGACTCACATCCAAGAAGCTTTTACTAATTTCTTTCATCAAAGGTAATGAATTACAAAATGAAACCTCCAGAACACTGCAACATCATGCACAAAAGCACTGGATAAGCAGACAACCTTGAAAAAGGAGGCTTTCGGTCCATTGTGTCTAAGCCTTGAAAACCGGGGCCGCTGAAGGAAGGGTGCTGAGGATGGCAAGCCACAGTCACTCCAGCAGGGCCACCATCTAAAGACAAGCTGCATGCGAGTCAGGCTTAAGTCAATGTGACGTATACTCACTGACTTCATTCATTTGCCTACAAGATTATAGGTCACTTAAAAGTGCTAGAGATTCGATAGAAACAACCTGGTAAGGTATGTAGGAAATCTGGTTTGACAAATATCCACAGTCACCAACACAGAAACCAAACACAGGCGAGACACATATGTGTATTTTCTAAAGGTTTCTCTGTCCTTGGTGTAGGGAAGAATGTTTGAAAAAAAGACCACTGAGAAGACTTCAGGTAAGTTTTTTTTTTTTTTTACACTTACAAAATGCTAAATCATCAGATGTCAACTGTTCAGTGGTACTCTGTAAAGCATCCTTAAAAACTCAATGCTGGTTCAGGCTCGGTGGCGCACACTTGTGATCCCAGAACTTTTGGGAGGCCAAGGCGGGCAGATCACTTGAGCCCAGGAGTTTTGAGACCAGCCTGGACAACATAGTGAGACCCCCTCTCTACAAAAAAATAAGGAAATCGGCCGGGTATTGTGGCCTGTGCCTGTGGTCCCACCTACTTGGGAGGCTGAGGCAGGAGGATCGCCTGAGCCCAGGAGGCAGAGGTTGCAGTGAGCCGAGATTGCGCCACTGCACTCCAAAATGAGACCCTTTCTCAAAGACAAACAAACAAACAAAACCCCAACTCAATGCTGTCTTGAGTGCTAAATGAGAAAACTTACTCTCAATGGAAAAAAAAAAAGGAGAAGCAAAACGAAAATGAGTCCTGGAAAGTTAACTTTGTTGCACTCCAAATAAAAATTTTGGCATTGGCTAGTAGTTATGCATACTCTAAGCATGACAATTCTCTAACAACTCCAAAGAGTGTGTCCTGGAAATTCCAGCAAATTTGCACTAGGTTCCAGGTACACAAGAATGCTTACAGCAATGTTCTGAGTAGCCTCAGTCTGGAACAAAACGCATACCCAGTCTGGATACACTGTTTTATTCACACAGTGGACTACTAGGCAGCAATGAAAATTACTTACAGATATACAGTACACCAATTTAATACTGATTGAAAACCACAAACACCACACTATGATCCACTCGCAAAAGTTCAAAAACAGGCAAAGGAAAACGAGCTCGCATGCACACAGAAATGGTAAAGCTGTAAGGAAGTGATGATCACACTAGTCAGGCTAGGAGAGAATCAGGCTCCGAGAAAGGAGCGCAGGGCATGGGCAAGAAACTCCTGGGGTGCCAGTAATGCCCTTTTCATTTTTATCTGCATGTTTTATTAATTCTTCTTTAAACGTGTATGTCGTATGCACTTTTCTGCGTATGCTATCTCTGTTAAAAATGTATCGGCAACCCTGCGGAGAGATTCGTGCCTCAAAAGAGGTGGGAGCTCGAGAACGATTTGCCTCGCCATTAAGCGAAGGCAACTCCGAACGCTGGGAGACGCAGGCCCAGGGTCGGCCAGGGTCCTTACGGATTGGCGAACGGGCGGACACCCTTCCTGCATTCAGGAGAGTTCTCAGGGTCGCGTTCCGAGCGACCCCAGAAGGAGCGGCGGTGTTTTCGCCGCTGGCTAAGCCCACCTAGAGCCGCCGAGCCGCCCTCCGCGTCGGACCCTCCACCGTCGCCGGCGACTCCCGACAGCCGCAGGGCGATTCTGGGGCTTCCAAAGGAGGGCGGGGCCGCGAGGGAGGAGGCGGCGACTCCCGCCGCCCCGCAAAGCCTCGGCCGCCCTACCGACCCCAGGAAGGCCGGGCCCCGCCATCCGCGGCTCCGCGGGCCCGGGTGGGGTGGGCGTGGTCGCCGCGCGCCGGACGTACCTCTCCACCGCGGAGGAACTACCTCGCCAGTTCCCGGTGACAGAGAACAGATTATTTCCGGGACCGCTCCCGCCACCCCTCCCGGGCCACCACTAGCCGTCCCCTTTTTAATTTGGAGTGCGGGTGCGGGCGCACGCGCACTACCGAGCTTCCGCGAGGGCGCGAGCGGACGGTGGAGGAGGACCCGCCGCTCCAGCCGCCAGGGCCGGGCGCGTGCGCGCGCGCCTCGACACGCCGCGAGCCGGCGGCGCGGGTCGGCCTGGGCGCGAGCGTGCGCAGTGGGTATTAGGCCGCGGCTCCAGCCAGGGCGGCGGCGCTCCGGAGGAGCGGGGTCGACGGCCGGGGGCGGGGACGCGGGGCGGCGGGCGTGGCCGGAGTCGCGCGCTGCTGGCGCGCGGTCCCGATAGAAAGGAGAAGGAGGGGCCCCGGGGGTGACGGTGCGGAGCCGCTGCCAGCGCTGGGCGACAGTCGGCGGCCGGATCTGGGGAGCAGGAGGGCTGGAGGCCGAGGCAGCGGCGCGGGCCCCAGGATACTCCGACCGAGTGGCGGCAGCGTCTGGCCAGGCGGGAGACGCTGCCCGGCCGTGGCGGGGAAGATGTTTAGCGTGGAGTCGCTGGAGCGGGCGGAGCTGTGCGAGAGCCTCCTCACTTGGGTACGTGGGGGCCGCGGGCCTGCAGGAAGACCCCCTCCCCCCGTCACCGACCGGGACACCCACGCGCGGCCCGGAGGGCGAGTGCCGCGGGCTACGGTGCCGTCACATCCGGGGCCCAGCGCGGGCGGGGTGAGGAGGCTCGGCCCAGGGTCCGAGAGAAACTTGCAGGGCCTGAGGCGTCGCTGCTCCGGGCGGACCCAGGCCGGGCTGGGGTGGGGACGCAGCGGGCGACCCCGAGACCCGCGCGGCTGCTCGTAGCTGGCGCGGCGCTGCGCTTCGGTGACAGCCGAGCCTGGCCGCCCCGCGCCTGGGAGCCTCCGCGGCTCCTCGCCTTTGTTGCCGCCTTCGCGGATTACGGCCCTCGCCCGGCCTGGGAAGGGACCGCACCTGTGAGGGAGCGTGGGGAGAACGCAGGCGGCGCCGGGGGACCCGGTTTCGGACGCGAGGCGCCGCTGGCGGTGGGAGTGCGCGAGGGGCGGACGCCTGTCAAAGGTCGGGCGGACGTGTAGAAGTCTGGAGGTGCCTGGTCGTCAACAATGGAACTCGAAGGCCTTGAGGGACGGCGTCGTGGGATTCCGATTTTGAATTGCTAAGCGGTTTTAGATTCCTCACGCTTTGAAGTAAATACGCCTTCACTTCTCACGTCGGCGACCGCGCCTTCCTCAAGCTGGGTCTTCAGGACGCGGCCGGGGAACCGACGCCTGGGTTCCGGTCGTGCTCGCCGCGTCGCGGGCCGGGGAGGGGGAGGGATGCGCAGAGCTCGGGCCGATCCCGCGCTGCCTTCGGGAGCGTTCGTTTCACTCAGTGCTGAGAAGGTTAATTGAATGTTTGCGGATGTGTTTTTGGAGGCGACCGTAGCATTTGTATTACTTTTAAAGGTAAAACACGAATGTGAGAAAATCCGTTTAGCGGTGTCTTGGGTTACGAGTCGGGATCCCTGGAGTGTAGACGTCACGCTCCTATGCAAGGCACTTTGCTGGAAAGGCTGGAGAAGTATTGCCTTACATTGGTTTTAAAAAGTAGTAAAAATAGTCTGAGGTTTTTATAATTTGGATATGTCACGAATCAGTTTCTGTCCTCTCAAACAGAATGTATACAGTGGTAGAGCTTGAGGTAGCCAGTTGCTTATTAGACCATTTAGGGGATTTCAGATAGTTAGCAGCAATATGTAGTTAATGTGCAGCTTACGCTTCTGTTGGGTTTCGCCTCCAGGCAAGGAGATGGCTTTCACTGCTATATTTCAGAAGAGAGGAAAACTACGTTGCATAATGTGGCTGAGGTTTGACTAGGCAGGGGAGAGATAGAGGAAAGAATTACTAAATTAAATTTTTTTAAAATTCAGTTTCCTTAGAGACTGTCAAAAATTGCCAATGCTGACTATATTTCAAGTCGTCATGGCAAGGTATTGGGAAAAGTTTTCAATTAGCAATAATCGCGCCTTGGACAAACCTCATCGGCTATGATACTGCCACTGCGCAAAGCTCTAAATTCTTTGATAATGTGAAAGGAATAGATTTGGCAGAATTTGTAAATCTGTAAACAGAATGCTGAGGAACTTAAGATTGGAGTTTTTGAGTCTGTGCAAGTAGTGCTAGCTTCCCTTTATGCTAGAAAAAGAAGAAGGCAAAGATGAAGCTATTTGAATCTAAGTAGGGTACATTGTTTAAAATCTAGGAAGAAAAAAGACATGAAAATAGAGATATGTACAGAGGCTCCTTAACTTACGATGGGGTTACATCCCGACAAACCCATCATAAGTTGAAAATACTGTAGTTGAAAATATATTTCATATGCCTAACCGACCAAACCCATAGCTTAGTCTGGCCTACCTTAAACGTGTGCAGAACACTTACATTAGCCTACAGTTAAGCAAAATCATCTATCACAAAGCTTATTTCATATAAAGTGTTGAATATCTCATGCAATTTATTGAATACTGAAAATGAAAAATATGGTGGTTGTATGGGCAGTGTATGATTTCTACTGAATGTGTATCTCTTGCATCATTGTAAAGTTGAAAAATCATAAGTTAACCCGTCGTAAGTTGGGGACAGTCTGTGTTTGAAGCCATCTGCAAAAATATGGTACTTAGTAATTGCGCTTATGTAAGTGAGAAATGCTGATAAAAATATAGAGGAAAAATCTGAGAAGTTTGAAAGGCTACTGACAGAACCTGACAACATGAGAGAATCTATTTAAAATCTCATAAAATGTCAAGAAAACGCACATTATCAGCTTGGTAGAGAGGTCAGGGAGTATGGTATCATAGAATAGGGTTTTTGAAATGTCAGTGGAAAACTCATCAATGAAAATTTCCAGATAAGATTAGAAATTATCAGTGACAAAATTGGAGGGCAGTGTTTATGAAGCTGTAGAATTCTAAAGATTTGGAAACACTTTAAAAGACATGTTTCAAAATAGAGTATAAATGCAGTTTGTTCTCTTTCAGCTGTCATTATAAAAAGCAGAATAAATGTTTTAAAAAGCAGAATAAATGTTTTGGCGAGCAATGTTTGATGTCATTTACATGTCTAGTAGCACCCCCCCCCAATCTGGAAGCCAGATTAATGCTAAACACAATTCTAAAACCAAATGTAAGCAGAAGTGTACACATACACTCCAAAGAAAAGATTCATTTAGATTAATTTGCTCTATTTTATGTCAACTTCTAGTCAGTTCGGTTGCATGTGGAGTTTTGCTGTCACTGAGCAAAATTCAGACAACTGTCAGTGACAGACAAGACCCAAGAGCAGGATGATTCCGTCTTTTGGCTGACATCCTTATATACTTTTACAGGCTCTATGTTCAATTATTGAAGATCAAAATTATAATCCTGAGTATCAGATAAAAGTTTGTTTTCACTACATAACATTTAGAGATTGGAGAGACATAACAACATTTTAGAAATTATTCTACTAGCAGTGGCTAAAGTAATAAAAGCTCAAGTACTTAAAGGGATGATTCTGTCACTTATACGGAACTTAGTGGAACATCTCGTTGCCTCACATGCTGGATAAATTGCCCTTTTATCAGACAGCCTACTGGCGCAAGAACCATATGTTCCAAATTTTTGTTGAAAGAGAAAGTTATAAAAAAAAAGAGTTAAGTATCATCCTACCAAGGGGAACTTTCCCATCTTAAGCTTAAATTCGAAATCAAAGTTCATGCAAGCAAGTTCAGCAGGACATGCTTGAAAATTTCCACTGTGCCTCCTCTCTCCACCCTCTGAGTCAAAATCTGCCCTGCCCGTTACACCTGTCAAGCCTAATTTCTTGAACTGTATGTGAATCTTGAAAAGATAGCACTTTTCCAGGTTTTAGAGACTGAAAAACAAGAAAGTCTACAATGCTACCAAGTTGTTTTTTGTTTTGTTTTGTTTTGTTTTTGTGTGAACCTCTGCCTGTGTTTCAGAGGAATTGCTACCAAGCAATTCATCACATAGGCTCAGTACGCTTTGGAGTAACCTAGCAACATTAATATATTCTTATTGTTTTCGTATTACTTACTTGGCAACTTATAAAATGCATACTAGTGTATAGAATTTGGGGTGGTATAATTACTACGGTGATATCTCTTCCATTCCGTTCTCTGTCCTCTGCCTAACTTGATTCTGCCAACTTTTGTCCTGTCATGGAAGAATAAGTCACTGATATGCAAAAGTTAAGGCACTTAAAAAAATAGTATAGCATAAGAGTACGCAGGTTCTGACATTAGGCAGCCTGGGTTCAAATCCTGGTTTTGTTCCATACTAACTGTAGGTGACTTTGGACACATAACTTCACTGCTGTGTTTTGATTGCATTGTTATTTAACATTACATTTGTTAACTTCACCAGTGACTTTCATGCTTTAGTATTGATCTACATCATTTAGAGAGCTTGCTAAAACACTGATGCCCAGAATTGCTAATTCTGTAGGTCTGGGCTGGCTGAGATTTTGCATTTCTAATAGGTTCCCAGGTGATGCTATTGTTGGTGACTTGGGGGCCGCGTTTTGAGAACCATGGCTCTAGAAAATTATTTGACATTTTGCACTGGACAGTTCTTTGCTGTGGGCACTGCACTATGTCTTATGTTTAATATTTAGTAGTAGCATCCCATTGCCTCAGCCAGCTAGATGACTATAGCACCCAACTCACTGTTACAGCCAAAAATGTCTCCTAAGGAGCAAAATTATCCATTGCTCTAGAGATGGTAATTCTAGATGATCTCATGCTTTTTTCCTCTCTTGCTTTTGTTGGGGAAGGGAAGATAGAGGTTGGGTGGTGGTAATAGAGCTTCTTGGAATTAAAAGAAAGGTTATAACCCTTCAGGTAGAATTTCATGCCTTAATGCAATTAGGTATAGTTGTCTTTTAGTTTTACTGTACTGCTATACTGAAATATTCATAGATGTTAGCTCAGAGGACTGGTGAGAAATTCTTAAAAATTAAGATACAGTTTACATACCATAAAATTCATCCTTTTAAAGTGTATAATTTATTGGTTTTTAGTATGATCACAAGATTGTGTAGTCATCATGACTGTCTAGTTCCAAGAACATTTTCATCACCCCAAAAATAAACTCTGTAGGGATAAATTTTATTTAGGATCTGTATCATTTTCATCTTGGAGCAGAGGTATACATCTCTGACTCTTGTGAGCAACTATGTACCTCAAGGGCTCATACAAAGAAAATAATTGAATAAAGCCATGTTTTAAAAACAAAAATGAAAATTTAGCTTTCTCTAAGACCCAAGAGAAAAAACAGATAAAGTCTTTCTTTCTTTTTTTTTTTTTTTTTTGAGGTGGAGTCTTGCTCTGTTGCCCAGGCTGGAGTGCAGTGGCCCAATCTCGGCTCACGGCAACCTCCACCTCCGGGTTCAAGCCATTCTCCTGCCTCAGCCTCCGTGGTAGCTGGGATTACAGGTGCGTACCAGCATGCCCAGCTAATTTTTGTATTTTTTAGTAGAGATAGTGTTTCACTAAGTTGGCCAGGCTAGTCTGGAACTCCTGACCTCTGAAGATCTGCCCACCTCGGCATCCCAAAGTTCTGGGATTACGAAAGTCTTAACAACTAAATTGCTTGCTTTTTTGAATTACCTGCTTTGTTGAATTGCTGCTTCTGACTAGCCAGAGGCTGTTTTCCAATCTTGCATCCTTTCCCTTTAGTAGTGCTTTGGATGATAGGATTCCAAATGCTAAACCAGTGTCCAGCTATGTAAGAATTATTTGATGAGCTTGTTAAAAATAGATCCCAAGCTTCCTACACACAGATTCTGATTCAGTAGGGGAATCCAAGAAATGTGTATGTATTCTCTCTCTTTTAAAAAAATTTTTGTTTAGACAGGTTCTCGCTCTGTTGCCCCAGCTGGAGTACAGTGGCACACTCACAGTTCACTGCAGCCCCGACCCCCCAGGCTTAAGTGACTCTCCCACCTCAGCCTCCTGAATAGCTGGGACTACAGTTGTGAGCCACCAGGCTCAGCTAATTTTTGTACTTTTTGTAGAGACAGAGTTTTGCCATTTTGTTCAGCATGGTCTCGAGTTCGTGGGCTCAAGTGATCCTCCAGCTTTGACCTCCCATAGTCATTACTTATGCCTGTAATCACAGGTGGTTTATACCTGGGATTACAGGTATAAACCACCACGCCCTGCCAAAATATGTATTTTCAAAATGGAAACCTCCCAGATGATTCTCTACACACCCCAGTTTGGGACCATTGCTTTAGACTTTGCAAAATACCTCATGAGCATTCATTTTCTTACTCATTCTGAAGCAACACATCCCTCCATAAGCTGTTTTTCCCCTATCTTTCTTTATATGGAAACACTGATATTGAGAGAGATAAAATGTCCTGTCCAAATTTACAGGGCAAAACTAGGAATTCAAATTAGTTCCTTTCATTCAAAGTGGTGTTCACTGAGGGCTTGTTCTGTATCGGGCATTGTGCTGAGGTCACTGATACAGAGAAGAATGAGACGTGGCCCTCACTGCTGCCTCTCTTTTTCCTTCTAAACAAACCTACAAGAAGGAGACTGGTTTTTCTTTTTTGAAAATGGGCCATTGACTTAGCAACTGTAAAATGAAAACAAGTGCTTATTTCTCTTAAAATTATTACCACATTACTAGTGAGCAGGCAGCTGGAGATAGTATGGAGCAAAATTTAAAATCATTTCCTGCAAATGATGTTTATTTGTTTCTTTTACTCATTTACTAATCATTTATTGCACCTCTACCAGCTATTAGGTTTGTGTCAGGGTAGCTTGGAAGGACCCTCTTATCACCTGTCCCAAATAGACACCTAAGTAAAAACTTGCTACGAGGATCTTATAATTCCCTGGGCGTCTACCACTGTAACTGTTTCTACCCACAAGACTCTCCTGTATTATATATGAAGCAGCTACTGACTGAACTGTTAATAGTTGCCTTTTAAAGATTTTATAAATGATTTGGTACATAGAAGTGGACATTCACCCACTGTTAGTAAGAGAATAAATTGCTACAGTATATATTTAGGGCAGTTTGGCAGTTTTATCAAAAACCTTGAGATGTTCATACAGTTTTTGACCTAGCAATACTTCTTTTCTAACCCAATAAATAAAAATATATGTGAATACATATGGTCACCTTAATGTTATTCCCAGTATTCTCATTGTCAATACTGAGTTTAGCTTCATCCATGTTAATATATAAACCTACTTAAATGGATTTTCCTCTCTCTTTCCCTCTACTCCTTCCTTCATACTGCAGCCAGTGTAATGTTAATACAATGCAAACCTCATGGCTGTCTCTTCTGCTTCAAATGCTTTGCTTTTTTTATTCATAGGATACAGTCTTAATGTGGCTTCTAAGATTTTACATGGTAATTCTTCATTCTTTTGCCCTGGCTTTCACTGTTTTTTTTTTCCCCTGTTTCTGTTTCTTCCTCCAACTCTTAACCCTGCCCAGTCTGTACCAAGCTGCTCTTCATACCTAGATTGCATCCCACTCTCACTTAACATCTTTATACTTGCTGTTGACACCTCTATAATACCGTTTCGTTTTTTCTAGTTGTAAGTTCCATGAGAGAGTGGCCTGTGTCTGTCTGTTTTCAGGTTTTGATTTCCTTCTAAATCCTGAGTACACTACTGGGTGTAATCATTATTGGCTACATTTTCTTACTTTTAGAGATAATTTACTCTGTTAGGGAAAGTACATTTCTTGGCTACATCATGTTGCTTAGTACAAAGTTTCAGAATATTTGAAATCAAAATGAAGTGAATATCTAACCATTCTTTTTTTTTTTTTTTTTTTGAGACGGAGTTTCGCTCTTGTTGCCCAGGCTGGAGTGCAATGGCGCGATCTTGGCTCACCGCAACCTCCGCCTCCTGCTCCTGGGTTCAGGCAATTCTCCTGCCTCAGCCTCCTGAGTAGCTGGGATTACAGGCACGCACCACCATGCCCAGCTAATTTTTTTTTATTTTTAGTAGAGACGGGGTTTCACCATGTTGACCAGGATGGTCTCGATCTCTTGACCTCATGATCCACCCGCCTCGGCCTCCCAAAGTGCTGGGATTACAGGCTTGAGCCACCGCGCCCGGCTATCTAACCATTTTTAAGTGTGACTTCTACATCTGTATAGAGATTCGGCCTCTGAGTAACAGAAACTACAACCTCGCCAGGCATAAAGAATAAATTAATTCATCTCACATACCAGGAGGCATCAATATTTTTTAATATAGTAATTCAGTTTTTACCTTAAGGATGTCGTTTTTTCTTGTTTATTTTTTTTATTGGGGGGATTTGGGGAGGAGGACGTAGTTCTTTCTTACTCTCCTCTCTGCCTTTCACTGCATTGGCCTAATCTTAAGATGATCGCCTTAGTAGTCATGAGATGACTGCTCTCAGTAATGAAGGCAACATACTTAAATCAACAGGAGATTGGATTTTCTTTCCCAGAAGCATCTCCTTGTCTCTCTTTAGTCCAAATTGTTTTTTCTTTGTGTGTCCTTGAGTCAGTCAGTGATAGAGAGGATGAAGGTGCTATGATTTTTGTAGATGGGTCTTGTGTGAGTAGAACAGATGCTGGGAAGCCACCCGGTATCCACCACGATTTCTCTCTTACGAGTTGGGGAAAATCACAGAAATACGTGGCTGAACATTCCCTTAAAGGAAAAAGTTTCCAACTAGACTTCTTGTAAAAATTTTTTCCAATCACCAAAAAAACCAAAAACAAAAACCCTAAGAAATTGTCTACATAGATAACCATATAATAATCTCTTCCCCCACTTTTTTCCCTTCAGATCCAGACATTTAACGTGGATGCACCATGCCGGATCGTGGAAGATTTAACGAATGGGGTTGTGATGGCCCAGGTTCTTCAAAAGATGTAAGAGTAAATTGCTTATCTTTATGTGTATTCTTATGCATGGATATTTATTAGATTACAAACATGGATTGAAAAACAAAGGGCTTACATGAAATGTGTGTAGAGTAAGACCTGTAGGCAGCAGCAGCAATAGTTTTGACGTCATGTACTTGTTAGGTATAGATTGAGTTGCAAGTTTAAGGGCTGTAATTGTTTAGTACTCTAATAGTTTTAGCAGAATTATTTGTTCTTGTGTTTTTCTGTTTAAGCTTGGCAGAAATTTTCATGATAGTGGCCAGATTCTCTTATTACAGGAGACTCTAAGACACTTACTCCATCTTTAAAATTTTGCTCAAATGTCATCTCATCAGAGATACCGGCCTTGGGTACCCATATAAAATAGCAATGATAGTTGCCTTATACTCTCTATCCCCCTTAAGCTTTTGTGTTCTTCTTTCAAGTTTGTAACACCATCTGATATACCATATATTTGGTTGTTCATTTATCTGCCCCCAATGCCCCCAAACACATATACACAGAATGTAAACTGCACATGGAGCCAGGGAATTTGTTTTCACTGTTGTATCCAAGCAACAGCCAAATGTCTGGTTTTATGTTGAACTGTATGAAATTCCTTTTCTTTATAGGTCAAAATGGTCAAAATCAGTTCCTCCTAGTTTAATATGCACTGTGGATGCTTATGTTTGAGTGACTGTAGGAAGGAGTGACTGTAGGAAGGAGTATTTGTTTGGGATATATAAAATACACCGAATTCTTCTAAGTACTTTGAAAACATAATTGTTATGAAATTGATATTATATGACTATCAGCTTTTGACCTAGGCATTTTTAAATAAATTTAAGAAGTCATTGGGTTTGTTGTAATTTGCAGACGCTTTCGTATTTTGAAGACCTGAGCACTTGTCAGCCTGATGATTTAAAAAGATTTACATATCACTAGCTGGGTTGTCCTGCATTTCTGTTGAAAATTAGTATCATTATGAAATGTATTGTTGGTTTACTTTGTAATTAGCTACATATAGTTGCCATAGACCTCAGCACTTTGACAGGCCACGGTAGGAGGATTGCTTGAGTTCAGGAGTTCAAGACCAGCCTGGGCCACAGAGTGAGCTCCATCTCTACCAAAAAAAAGGTTGGATGTGATGGTGCACCCCTGGGGTCCCAGAAGCTGCTAGGGAGGCTATGGTGTGAAGACTGCCTGAGCCTGGGAGTTTGAGGCTGCAGTGAGCACTGGTCAATCCACTGCACTCCCAATTCTAAAGGCAAACAGACAGTTGAAATGCTGGCAACATTTCAGATCATCTGTCTGTTTGCCTTTAGAACTAGGGACTCATGTTTGAGCACTATAGCTTGTTTTTACTTTCTACTATAACTTAAAATGCATTGTACATTTTTCCAGATACATAGGCACACAGGTTTTTTAATGACGCTCAAGAAGGCTCATTGGAAACGTGGCCTGCTCTCATTTGAGCACTCTTAAAAGAATAATCTTGCCATTTTTATGGTCACTTCTGAGTGGTGCCCTAATTTTAGCTTTTCCACTGAAGTTCTTTTTTTTTTTTTTTTGAGATGGAGTCTTGCTAGGTTGTGAGGCTGGAGTGCAGTGGCGTGATCTCGGCTCACTGCAACCTCTGCCTGCTGGGTTCAAGTGGTTCTCCTGCTTCAGCCTCCTGAGTAGCTGGGACCACAGGCATGCACCACCATGCCTAGCTAATTTTTGTGTTTTTAGTAGAGACGGGGTTTCAGCATATTGGCCAGGATGGTCTATGTCTCTTGACCTTGTGATGCGCCCGCCTCGTCCTCCTAAAGTGCTAGGATTACAGGCGTGAGCCACTGCGCTCGGCCTCACTGAAGTTCTTAATAAAAGTTATTTGAGTGTGTGGGTCTAGCTAAGTAAACTTTACAGGTATATGCCAATAAATGAATTTTTTGCCTAAGCTAGTTTGTGTAGGATCTTTATCACTTAGAGAAACCAGAAGAAAGAAAGTGTATGTAAATTGTTTTATCAAAACAAGATTTCAAGAACAAGACAAGGATGTGGACTCTGCTACTTCTGTTCAACACAGTCTTTACCAGAACAATGAGGCAAAAATTAAAATAAGATAAAAAAGTAAAAGGTATCCAAATAGGAAAGGAAGAAGTGAAATTGTCACTGTTTCCTGACAGTGTGATGTTGTGTACAAAAAGCCATAATGACTCCGTAAAAAAAACTGTTAGACCTGGTAAAGGAATATAGTAAAGTTGCAGGATATAAGATCAACCTACAAAAATCAGTAGTGTTTCTGTGTACCAACAACAAACTATCTGAAAAAAAAATCATGAAAACAATCCCATTTATAATAGCTACCAAATTAAATAAAATACTTAGAATACATTTAACCAACAAGGTGAAAGATCTGTAGATTGAAAACTATAAAACATTGATGAAAGAAGTTGAAGTCTCCAATAAAGGAAAGATATTCTGTGTTCATAGATTAATTATTGTTGAAATGTCCATGCTAGCCAAAATGATCTGCAGATTCACTGCATTCCCTATAAAAATTTCAATAACATTTTCAACAAATAATAAACAAAGCTAAAATTCATATGAAACTAAAAAAGACCTCATATAGCCAAAGCAGTCATGAGCAAAAAGAACAAAGCTGGAGAAATCTCACTACCTGATTTTAAATTATATTGCAAAGCTATGGTAATTAAAACAACATACTAATGGCATAAAAGTAGACACATTGACGAGTGGAACAATAGAAATTCCAGAAATGAACCCATACATCTATAATCAGTTGATTTTCCACAAAGGTGCCACAGACACACAATGAGAAAAGGACAGTCTCTTTAGTAAAGGGTATTATGCAAACTGGGTATCCACATGCAGAAGAATATGCTTATCTCCTCCGACATTCTAAAATCAACTCAGAATGGATTAAACATTTAAATATACCTCCTGAAATTGTAAAACTACTAGAAGGAAACATAGGGGGAAAGCTTCTTGACATTGGTCTGGGTGATGATTCCTTGAATTTGACCATAGAACAGGCAACAAAAGCAAAAATGGACAAATGGGATTACATCAAACTAAAAACTTCTGCATGACAATGGAAACAAGCAACAGAGTGAAGAGACAAACTACAGATTAGGAGAAAATATTTGCAAGCCATACATCTAATAAGAGGTTACTATCCAGCCTGTAAGGAACTCAAACAACTGAATATAGAGAAAACAAATAACTCAGTTTAGAACAGCGTGAAGGACCTGAATAGACATTTTTCAAAAGAAGATATACAGATGGTTAACAAGCATATGAAAAAATACTCATCACTGATCATCAGAGAAATATAAATTAAAACCACAGTGAGTTGTCGCCACACATCTGTCACAATGGCTGTTATCAAAAACTTGAAAAATAAGTGTTGGTGAGGATGTAAAGCAGAGGGAACCCTTGTACACTGTTGTTGGGAGTGTAAATTAGTACAGCCATTATGGAAAACTGTACAAAAAACTAAACTAAAAATAGAATTACCATATGATCCAACAATCCACTTTTGTGTATATAGCCAAAGGATTTGAAACTGGTATGTTGAAGAGATACCTGCACTTCCACATTTCTTACAGCATTACTCAGGGTACCCAATTTATGGAAGCAGCATTAGTGTCTATCAGGGAATGGATGGATAAAGACAGTGTGGTGTATATGAAACTCAAATACTGTTCGGCCTTTATTAAATGATTGATTGAGACAGGGTCTCACTCTGTCACCCATGCTGGAGTATAGTGGATTGACTATACTCACTGCAGCCTCAAACTCCCAGGCTCAGGCAATCCTCACACCATAGCTTCCCTAGTAGCTTCTGGGACCACAGGGGTGCACCACCACACCCAACCCTTTTTTTTTTTTTTTTTTTTTGTAGAGATGGATCTCACTCTGTGGCCCAGGCTGGTCTTGAACTCCTGAGCTCAAGCAATCCTCCTGCCTTGGCCTGTCAAAGTGCTGAGATTAAAGGCATAAGTCTTCATGGCCATGCCCCAAAAGAAGGAAATTCTGTCATTTACAACAACATAGACAAACCTGGAGGACATTGTGCTAAGTGAAATAAGCCAGGCACAGAAAGATAAATACCGACTCACTTAGGTGGAATCTAAAACAATTGAACTCATAGAGGCAGAGATTAGAATGGTGTTTACCAGAGACAGGGGGCTGAAGGGAATGGGGAGATGACAGTCAGAGGGCACAAAGTTTGAATTAGGAGGAATGCATTTTTTGAGATTTATTGCAAGGCATGGTGACTATAGGTAATAATGTATATTTCAGAATTCTGAGGGAGCAGATTTCAGATGTTCTCACAATAAAACATAAAAATTGGAAGCAATGATATTAGTTTGATTTAATCTTTCCATATTGTATATCACAACATCATTTTGTACCCATAAGTATAGTTTGTCATTGTAAACTTTGAAAAAAAATTTTTCATGAATTGAAGTAAACAAGATAGTAATATACATGTTTTACAAAGTGGTCTTTTAATTTACCAGAGTCTTGTGGGCATATTTCTTATTAATACTTAGTTTTCAACCTTCCTTTGTTCTAGAATGCCTTCCTTTTTTCCTTTTCTTGAGATACATCACATACAGAAAATCGTTCTACATTGTGATAATTTTGTGTGTATGTGTTGCATATCTCCTATAATCTCCACTCTGATTGAAATACAGAACATTTCCAGCTCCTCCCTACCCAATAACCTCTATGCCAAAGATAGCCATGATTCTCACTTCTGTGCCATTAATTAGTTTTGCCTGTTCTTGAATGTCTTGTAAGTGGAATCATATAGTATGTACTCTTGTGTTTGTCTTAAATTCAGTATAATGTCGGTGAGATTTATCCATATTGTTATAGAGTATCTTTTAAATAGTTGTATGATATACACATCCTCACCAACATTAGTTTCTTCTTTGTCAGTTTGATATTTATTGAATGGCTACTTTGTGTCTAGCGTTGCTGATATA